TCTTACTGAACCCCACTTACTTGTCCAAATTGTATCCAATGTCTTTTTCTATGAAAAATAGGAAACATGATGTTTAATGCATACATGTATATGTATATGTACACATGTATGTGTATATGTATATATATCTCCATATATACACATATATGTATCTATATCTATAGCCCATGCCTGACTGTTTCTAAGCCTAAGGCACTATCCATTATGCTACCCTGCCTCTTGCTGTTAATTGTAATTACACTAGAAGTTCAGAGAATACAATTACTAGAGTGACTATAAAATGCAAAACTTGAGGTGGATAGAGCACTAGATCCGGTGGAGTCAGTCAAAAAATGAATTGAGTTGCTTCACAGGTTTTCTGTCACCGTAGGCACTCAAATGGGGGTTGATTGACGTCTTGTAATATTGTAAAAAAATTCAGTGTTTCAGGTGTGGGTTGGATCTCTGAGGTCCCTCTCAGACACAAAGCCCTATAATCTAGTGACAGTATTTAATGTTTACTGAACCGAATTCAGTTTGAAACATTGCTACTTCTGGAGTCTTCTGGAAGAAGTGTTTGCCAAGTGAGGTGTTGGGATAGGGGGAGGAGATAATCTATTAAGCCACTAGACACCATTAATATTTGTTTGAATTTTTGTTAGACATGAGAACTCTAATCCTGGACAATTTTGATGGGGGGAGGGGAGAGGAGAAGGTTTGGCTGTAGTATGAGGAATGACCCAGGAAGGGCAGGCTTGGATGAGGCTGAGGGGCTTTGGGTAGCCAGGGGGTAACATGAGAATAGTAGATGACAAGGAGTGGAATGAAAAGGGGAGCAAAATGGGTTATGTCACATAAAATGGAAGAGGGATACTGCCAAATAAGAAGTTTGCTTTCTTAACCATTTTATCAAGGATGGCATGGAGGAATAGGATTAGGAACAAACTGGAGCTAAGCATATAGAGGAAAAAAAAATTTGACCCAGGTTCTCCTGTGGAAGCCAATCTGTGATTTCTTCTAGGGTCTGTATACTCCATTCTAACTGCAATAGGATATTTTCCCAAAGTCCCCTGTGGTGATGGGCACTTTTTATATATTTCAATGAGGAAGAGGAGAGAAACAAACATGGCCTGTCATATTGGCCTCTGTTTTGTTAAGATAACCTACATTAGTTTTTCATCCTTAAAAGGGAACTATCTTTTGGGAAACTCAAATATTTGTTAGGTAGAATTTTTTAACATTGCCCAAATACTCAATAATTTTTTGACCAACTTTTGTAGAAAACGGAACTTTATTGCAATTTAAAAAAGACAAAGACAATTTGATAATAATGTCTGTAATTACAATGTACCAGCTATTTACACATAATTATACTTATGTACAGGAATGAATAGATGTTCACTACATGTAACTTTTGAAGTTACATGTCAAACTCCAGCCATTTGTGAAGAGTCACAATTGAAATGTTTTTAGTAGAAATAAGCTGAAAAATACACATTTCACTTTATGGGTACCACTACTGAATGATATATCGAGGTCTGAGCAAAGAAGTGAACAATATGCATCAATCTTAAAATTACCCTCACAATGAGCAGCAGTATTAAGACCGTAAATAGAATCAATAATTGGTTCATTAAAAACAAAATATGCCTTCAATTTGTATAGCACCTTTCTTTCAAAAAATTCAAAGCATTTCACATTTATCTCACTTGCCCTCATCACATCCTGGTGAGGTAGGCAGTGTTAAGTATTATTATCTCCATTTTGCACATGGAGGAACTGAGGCACATAAGTTAATTGGTTTGTCTAAGCAAGTCAAGAGTCGTCAATGATGCCCTGGACTTGTGACTCCAAAATCAATACTTTATCAACTAAAGAGTTGTTGCCTCCTCTTTGAAACTGATGAAAGATGCTATTTTACATTACTAGAAAAATAGAAAAAAAAACTATGCATTTTTTTCTTTTCACTGCATTATTTCAGACTGATATTACACTCATGCAGAAACTGATCAGAGAAGTACCTTTTTTTTTTTTTTGGTAAAGATTTGAGGAGTTTATTCTTTTTGTTTTTTTAAGTAAAGAATGTTGAAATGACTTAGTCCTAGCAATTCCTTGAAAGGTTGTTTCTAACCACTCACAACTTATTGTGACATTATGCCATTCGTAGACCAGTCTTTCTCCAGGGTAAAAAGAAATGGAAATGACTAATTTTATTTACAAAATTTTTGATTTAGTGACTTAGTCTATATTTTTAATTACCTCATACACATTTATGCATTACAAAATCTTGGCAAGGTAGAAAGGGAGTTGGGAAGATTGTTCCATTTTCCTGATGGGTAAACAGGCATATAATTGAAATCATCTTTTCTTTTTCAAGATGCTAAACACATAATAGCAACTTGACAAAGTTACTAATTTGAAAAAAAAGTTACTAATTTAAAAATTAGTTACTAAATAAAAAATTAGTTAAAAAAGTTACCAATTTGAAAAAAAAAGTCTAACTGTGCTAAATGCAAAGTGGAAAACTCAATGCTTATTAGATCTTGATAGAATATAACCTCTTTGAAGGCTAGGACTATTTCCACTTTTGGGTTTGAAACTTCAATCTCCAGTACAGTCCCTGAAACATGTGGTGCTCAATAAATGCTTGTTGATTGATCAAATTTTAAATAATGACAAAGTTTAAAATAATTAGTAACGGGTCCAGGAATTAGAACCTAGAATCTAAGAACTAATAAGAGCCTAAGAAACCTTTTGTGTTTCTAGAATCTATTTTTATTTTCCTATAGAAATATATACATATGAGAACCACCTGCCATTGTTTTTTGTAGAATAGATAGCTGTGAGGATAGCTATCCTGTAAATGCCACTTGTCTGTGCAATGCCAGAGAAGATTTCAAAAAAAATTTTTTTTGTAGTTTTAAGAAGGAAAACTTCAGGGATGGGTGATAAATATCCTAAGTAGCTTAGGTGTTTAATAAATATGTGGAGACCTGTCCAAGAAATGTTCAAACTCCTTTTGGTTTTTCACTATTTTCATCTAGTGAATGGAGTTGCCATCTCTCAAGGGAGGTCTTTTTTACCGCAATGCCACTTACCAGGATGGACAACTTAGGATAAAAGAATCACTTCATACTAAGAAAGCACTAGGTACTATTTTTATGTATACTCAGTTCTGTAATCTATGTTGTGTGTGTGTGTGTGTGTGTGTGAGAGAGAGAGAGATAGTGGGGCATTAACAAAAGAAAAACAAGACATTAAGATAGGTAGGGCTCCTATAGTTTTAATTTGCATTCTTGAGGGGTCAAAAAGTTTCTTCCTTTGAGCATTAATTATCCTTTAGAGCATATTAGATTATATAATTACTATATAGCTGAGTTTTTTTTTAAAGGAAATGGATATAATGTAATAAATTGGAACACTTTTTCCATCTGAAATTTTCTTCTACATCTTGACAGTTTTTCATGTATGTAGTAGGGGCTTAATAAAGCTTACTGAATCAAGTTGAATTATGAATTCTAATCAGTTATTATGGTATAAAAAAGGCAAAAAAATCTCAAGAGAATCAAAGGCAAACTGTAGTATTATACATGTTGAAAATTGCAGTCATTAGTACTATGTTATCGACTCATCTGAATCACTAATTAGAAGTGTCTGGAATTTGATTTTCAAGGTCAGGTAGCTCGCACATAATCAGCCAAGTTTCCTCCAATGCCTCACTCATTCCCTAGTTAGACACATTAACAATTTCAAGCTTCTTGGGCACAGGTGGGTGCAGGGAGGAGGGGATAAAGCCCAATTAATTATAAATACAGCAGCTTGGTAAATCACTCTTTTCTTGAGAATATGTTCTCTTCCTGGTAAACCCGTGTGAATATTTTAAAGGAACAAAAGGATTATGTTTATATCGGTGTGCTTCTGGGCACATTTGCCATGAAACTCAGAATCAGAAATTACCAGATCTGGAAGGGAATTAGTTGACAATACAAACCAAGGTTTGAGTGCTAATGTTGGATGCTATTCTGTTACTCGAATGTACTCTTAACAAGAATGATATCTTCAACAGATCAGTCAATAAGGCAGCTTCTTATGGAACTTTTGACAGCAAAAAGGGTTTCCTGGTGTAGTGCTAGTGCCAGTTAGATACTTAGGATAGCTCACAGTGCCAATGAAGTAAAGATTGTGAGTCTGATCTCTCAATGGGTTGGTCAGTCAACAAGCATTTATCAAGGTGGCAACATAACCAATTCCAACAAACCTCTTTCAAGACCATAGACAACCAATCTCCCATAAGGAAGAGTAGGTAAAGAAGCCTGAATGGCTGAATGATATAGGAAAAGCAACTCATAACTCATTCTACAGATGATGGGCCAGTGGTATCATCATTTTAAATGGCAGATGTCACATGGTTCAGGGAAACAAGTGCTATACAGGTGCTTTACTCTTCCAGGTTCTCTAAGGAATGTCTCACCATTGGCTTGTGAAGACCTTACGTTTTGGAGCTATGACTGATGCTGAAAATTTTCAAGTGGAACCATAAGTGTTTGACAGTCCTAATTATGGTGGAAGGATTGAGAAGAGCCATGAGAGTCATGCTGTACGAAGCAAAATAAGGGCTGTTACTGTAAGAGAAGCTGGGGCAAAAAGAACAATAAAAATATTGGAGCAGATATAGTCATCTTTCACCATAAAATTCAGGTGTGATATTAGTGATATATTTTCTCATTATTTTATGAATCTCATAATTTCAACATTATAAATACTACCTTAGACATTCAGGAAAGAACCACATAAGCACCCCAAATTATTTTTCGCTCAAGAAAAATCCTTAAAAAATCAGTGGGAATTATTTAGAAGATAGTATAACTTTCTAGTGATCAACTTTCACAAGGAAAACAGCATGAATAAGGAATGCAGACTAGAGACGTTCTTACTTGTATTTCTGTCGCATCACTATATTTTGTTCTACTTCCATCTTATGGCCCACAGAAACACAAAATGTGTAAAACCTACACAATCATTTAAAAGGTAACATAGAACCATTTTATTTCTGTAGATCTGAAACACAGGAGTCTGAGTAATGGTAATTACCAGCCTTTTGAACACATTACATTGTGTGATAAGACAAGTAGAGCATAATACATCTTTGACAAATACCCACAGTGCACAAACAGCATACTGGCAAACAAAATCTAATCTAATTGTACTAAGAGAAGATAGTACCAAATTGGCTGATAACTGAAAAGTACCACATGACCGTAGATCTCTTTTCCTGTGACATTTTGAAGGGATCTGGGAGACTGGTTTGAAAAAAAAAAGCAACATTAGAAAAAGCCATCAAACACTTTACAAATCTCTGTGCCTGGATAAAATGAAGGACAGGGATAATGAAGCTTCATTTGCACATTTACAGAATGTGAATATTCTTCTCCTCATCCTTTTTTTCCCTTAGCGTATTCTGATAATACTGACTGGTTAGCTCCAGTTTATCATGATTTTCTGGACTGTTCTCTTATCACTCTAATCTCAGCACTTTGGGTTATTCTATTGGCTAGATTTTGTTCAAACCATCTAATGGCACAAGTGAGGTTTAAAGCATTTACAGAAAGTTACAGTACAAAACAAGAAGATATTACAGCAAAATGAGGGTTTCACTGTAAATAAAGGCCATACTATATTTATAGACGTGTTCCTATTTTCACATAAGTCACTTAACATTGAACATTATATTTTAACCCTACAACCCCCAATTCCCCAAAAGCATTGTACAATAAACTTGTCAAGATATCCAGGAAATAACCATCAGTACCTACTGGGCTCTCAGCAGCCAATGCTAATCTGGTGGAGCAGCACTAATCAACAGTTTGAGCAGAACAGTATCACTATAACACACTGAATGAGACTGACTATTACACGGAGGACTGAAAGAAAATCTTGGCCTTTACTCATTTACAAAATTGCAATTTAGTCTTGATGTGAATGACTTTTGGAATAGCAGAAGTCTTGAAATTATAGCCATGCTGCCATCCCTGGAGTACATTCTTTTGGAAAAAAAAAAAAAAAACCAAACCACACTACTTTACTGCCTGCTGATTCTATACCTAGAACCGTGGAAATTATTAAAAAGAATGAAATAAGATAACCACCATGTTTTTATTGGCTATGGCTGTCTGGGGAGTCACCATGCATTGGCTCCATTGCTCTCTCTCACTTTTACCTCCCCCCCCCTTTTTTAAAGCTTTGGGTCATCTCCTACTATACCCATATCTGAGGAGTACACATATTTACATTTCCATTGTCATCCTCCCTATGAGTCAAAGAAACAGGAAAAACTTTCTTAAGTTAGTGATGAAAACTTCTCAGTAGGGATTATGATGCAGCAGGGAAAATTATGAAGATCTAAGTGATAGTGAAGAATTTGAATGTTTTCATATAAGAAAAGCTTAAGGAGTCAGAATTCCTCAAGAAAGTTTTTCCTTTAAATCACCATATGTTAGAGAATATGTTACAGACTTGCTTCTCTGACAACAGTTCAGCTGATCTCTCAGATGAACATTCAGATGGCACATTACTGACTGCTTCTCATTCAATGAGTGCCAGGGATATGTGTAAGTGATAACCAGGTGCTTGGTGCTTTCACTTTGTAAAATACCAGTTAAAAAAAGAATAAATACACAGAATTACAAAAATTAAGAAAACATGTTCTCTTGAATAAATAGATTCTGTCACACATCGAAGTAAAATGACAATATTGCTTTGTGTTGACAATCAGCCATTAATTTTAGCACCTAATTAAACACAGTTCCTTGGATTCTTGTGACTTTGAGGCAACTGAAACAATGATCATCAACTTTTGCCTAAGGAACAGCTATACCTTAAAATGTTTTAAAAGAACTAGTGATATAATTTGTATTAGGACAGGAGATGCAATAATAAACATTAGATTAATTTTTGGGGAAATTTGCTATTTTTTTTTTCTCTAGGCTGTAACTTGTTCCTGCAAATTCTTCAAACACATTTTCAGATAAAATTTCTGTTCAAAAAATATAATGGGCATAAAAAATTAAACTGGAATTTTAAAACATCTCCAGTTTGAAACAATAACAAAGACAAAAGAATATAAACAGCTCATTTCAGGTGAGGTTGTAATTCGGATGTATGGAAGAACTGAACAGATCTTTCATATATTTAAAGAACTCCAATATAATTCATAAAAAGAATAACACAACTGATTCATAAAAGGTATCCTTCATGTATATTTGAATTTTAACAGCCTAGGGTTTGGTAGATGTGATTAACTTCTCTCTTCAGATTTTCTTTCAACTGTGGTAGAAGTATGGAAAATTATATGAATGATTCATTTGTTGTTTAATGTCCAACAAGAACAATAAAGGAAAACAGTAATTTTCTTTGAAAAAACACATAATGCCCTGCCTAGTATCTGGGCAAACTCCTCTCCATACCCTGTCCTCGTAGAAATCATTGCGCTATGTTCCAATCTTTGAGAGAGAGAAAGAAAGAGAGAGAGAGAGAGAGGGAGGGAGAGAGAGAGAGAGAGAGAGAGAGAGAAAATGTGTGTTGGGGGGGTAGTACTTTTAATCAGGTTCTTTGAATATTCTTTTACAACCTGTTAATTAACTGACAGACCTCACATCTCCCTCTGTCAGGGTCCTCAAAATCAAGAGAGATGTACAATGCATATCTTATAGATCTGGTACACAGAATCCACACTTGAAAGTTGTTAGGGGAAAATTGATGACTATATGCAAAAAAGAGGGTTTCTCTCTAGAAAGTTCTGTCGTCCTCAGTACCAAGTTACTCTTCTTGTAGTTAAGAGATGCATTTAGAGATGAATAATAACCTCCTGAGGCCAAGAGGTAATAATTTAGTCCATTATTTACGGAACAGCCCAGATGGCCATGAATATGTGCTAATTACTATTAACAGACATTGAATGGAGACCCTATGGCCTATAAAAGAATTGATGTGCCCTCTTAAGTTCCTAATTCATTGACTTAGAAAGTGCTCAACACATTACTTGTGCTCATGAATATTTGGCTACACTAAACAAGAGATTTTCAACTACTCAGTAGCATGAGATCTCTAGGAATGCTGCCATTTTTCTCGTACTATGGAAACGTAATTTAGGCTAGTTTACATTCTATTGCTAAGACTATTGTTGTACCCCTAATGTCTTAGCAGGAGATCGGATCTCTGCAGAAATAAAATCTATGCTTGATTAGCTAATCAGCTAATCTTCCTACTAAGCTAATCTTGTTATTTCAGAATTGTAAATTTAATTAAATGTATAGAGCAACCAAAGAATCAAAGCAATGATTACAACTGCTGGAAAGCACATCCATGGAACTCTATGTATTTTTCAAGCAGCTTTATTCTCCCAAATCACCTTCATTGTTACAGAGAGAGAAAACAGCACAAGTTAGGAAGCCAAAGAGGTGACAGTTATCAATAGCAATACAGAATAACTGCCTCCTTTTCTAGTGGTCAGAAGAACCTGCAGTTTTCCAATGACTGTAAACCACCATTCACAATGACACCAATAATGAGGGTTTTTTTTTTTTAAATTAGGAAAGGTGGACAAATCTTTGAATGGTCATTTTGTGAGACCTGAGTGGGTACATGTAAGGCCAGCCTAGACCAGAACATGTTCTTCCTTGAAGTCTGATAACTGGCCACAGGTTGGTATAAAAAGGTAGGCAAATCCCTAATTGCTCATCAAAAGTTGTTTATGTAGACTGAATAATCACTGGATTTTAATGACCTGAAAGAAATGACAGATAAGCACCTACTATGGATAGTGACAGTCTGGAGGAATATTCCTCGTCCTTCTCTGTGCAACTGTTTCAACCAAGTGTTCCTAAAAATTTGTACCCCAAAGTACTAGTACCGATGAGCAACATACACTTATTTCATTTATTCATTTACCAAGGTGATTTTGATCAGGAGCCCCTTGTACCATTTGAAAAGTTTAATCTTTAAAGACTTAGATACGTGGTTAGAGAAAGGGTAAAAAAACAACCAACTAGCTGTAATTAACTAGCTTATGTGCTTTTTGAGTTTTTGTTTTCTTTTTGAAGATTATAAATGAATCATAAAATGAAAATAGTTAATTTACATAATTTCTGATATTCTTTTGGACGTAGGCACAAAACAAAATGCTTTAGATTATTTACATACTAAAAGTAAATGCTTACAAATGCTCTACTGAATCCAGATTAATTTCTGAGAACGACTTCTACAAGCCAGTCAAGACTTTTATAACGTGGACAGAAGAGATACTTTGAAACACACATTCATGTTCCCAGCCCTTCAGAGCCAGACAGTGTGGCCACTGTCCAAATATGTGGTCTGTGTCCAAACATAAAGATTAAGGCTCTCTGTTTGAAATAATGAGTTCCCGGCGAATTAAAAAGAATTCTATAAGTACCATAACATTCTTAAAATACTGAAAAAATTCTGAATCTTCTTAAAATACCAAAAAAAGTTCTTGACTAGAAAAATAAAATAAAGCATCTAAAACTGAATTGAAGTACTTTTGTTGTAGGCCACTAGTGGAGTGCCAACCTAAGAAGTGACAAAACTCTGAAGAGACTCACAGAAGGTCCCCAACCCTATTTGTGGGCTGCAGTTGGAATCCTCAGCTGCTGAATAAGCAGCTTCCTGAAGAACACTGAAGATTGGCATTGCAAACACATTAGCCAAGCTCCCCCCCATCCAAACAGGTCTATGCTGGAGTAAAAATCCTTAACCTTGGGGGAGAAAATCCTTGGGCTGAGTTGTTCAGTTTGAACGTGAGAAGGAAAACAGCCACTCATTTAAAATTTTTCAGCAGGTAGCAAAAAGCAGTCAACAACTGGCTCTTCTGAAAGGCAGTATTTTAGGCAAGTGGCATCCATTACAGTGAATATGGTCCATTTTAAAATACTGGACATTCTCAGGAACCACCAACATTTTTATCTTCACTGCGAGAGGAAAGGAACCATTTTAGGGAGGGGGATGAAATGTTTGTCTCTTTTTATTATATATGTGTGAATGCATATCTGTGTGTACCTTATTGCTTGGGAAGGTTGGAAAATGGTCACTGCCCCTCCATTGTTTTCAATTCTCTAAAGCAATGCGCAATTTGTAATTTATTATGACCTTCTGTTTTTCTTCAAATAGAGAAACATATTCAAACTGCTGACAGTATAATGTTAAAAAAAATGTTGTCTTGGCATTAAAGTCTGGTGATATCTTTGCTGTGTTGTAAATCTCCAATACTTTCATAGTCATTTTCTTTTGGAAAAGTGATGTGGTTACCATTAGCCATTGACATGGTCTTTTCTTCATCTTTGTTCAATGACTGGATCGCTTCATAATCAGGCTCCGGCTCCCCATTTGAATTGACTACTGGTGGAGGCATGTTGATGTTTGGGTTTTTCTCAAAGTCCCGTACTGTGGCATAGAGATCATTACCAGAAGATGGTGATCTTTTTGGAGCTACATCTTGAATACAGGAGTAAGTGGATTCTGGCACTTGAAGAGTCTGTCCTGGCTTACTTACAGATGAGTACATTGCAGAAATCTAGAAGAGAAATCATTAGTTGAACCATCAACTGTTTTTGTATGTCTCTTCTTCCAGTCCCCCCTCATGGTCCCTTTAAGTGAATTGTTGGATACCTGACATGTATGGGTGCTTAAGCACACTTAGGTGCAGCTAGGTGGTGCAGTGGACCGAGCTCTGGGCCTGGAGTCAGGAAAACCTGAGTTCAAATCTGGCCTCAGAAACTTACTGACTGTGTGGTCGTGGGCAAGTCACTTGTTTGCCTCAGTTTCCTCAACTGTAAAATGGGGATAATAATAGCATCTATCTCACGGGGAGGTTGTGAGACTCAAATGAGATAATAATTGTAAGATGCTTAGCACATCGTGAGTGTGATATAAAAGTAAGCTTTGATTATTATTATTATCTACATATTTTGAAGATATGCTTCTTCTATTGGGTCTATTTTTTTTTTATTTTGGTTTGTCCTTAATTTTTCTAACAAAGGAATAAAGTAGCTGAGGTGATTCCTGAAGAGGGAGGGAAGGAGGGAAAGAATAAGCCTTTACTAATCACCTATGTGCCAGGCCCTGTGCTAAAATACTTTAGAAATATCTCATTTAATCTTCACAATAAGCTACTGATGACAGGATAAAATTAAAACTCCCTAGCCTGGCATTTAAAGCCATCCATATAACCTATCTTTCAATGACCTTCTATTATTATTTCCTATTATTCCTCTTCCCTTCTGTTCTAGTCAAACTAGCCTGCTAGCTGTTCCTCACAGAAAATATCCCATTTTCTATCTTTGTGCCTTTGCAAAGATGGTCTTGACAAGTCTAGAATTCACTCCCTGTTCACCCCAACTTTGTAGACCCATCAAAGCTCAATTCAGGTGCCACCTTTCCTCCCTCTTAAAATGATTTTATATTACTTTGTGTTAATAAGCTATACCCATCCCTTCTTCCTAGCACGAATGTAAGCCCCTCGGAGGTACGGAATACTTAATTTTTGTTTTACGTCCTCAGTACCTAGCATATAATAAAAAACTCTAGCTAGAACATTTCTGACTGTATTGTTGCCTCTAGTGCACTCCTACTGTACTATTCAACTATTTTAAAGGCCTTGTGGAAGTGTTTCTGGGGTTGGGGCTTATGCTGAAAATTAGAGCCAGACCAATGTCTGACATCCTACTGTTAACTGAATAACAGAAAGAGTGTGAGTGTGTAGGTATGCACACATCCATGATGTAGAAAAAAAGAACACTGAATTGGGATTGAGCGCTGGATTACAGCCCCAGCTCTGCCACTAACAAGCTATGTGACCTTAACGTCTCCTGGCCTCAGTTTTCAGATCTGTAAAGTGAGTGGGTTACTACAGTATATAACTGAAGGTTTCTTTGATCCTACATATCCGCATATACTTTTGATATTGCTGTGACTCTAGGTCTAGGGAACAGCCGTTAATCTTTCGATGAGTTCTAAAGCCATTTTCAAAACTGTTACCAAACTGACCTGAAGATTGGTCCATCCCAACTGAGAACCTAAAATGCAGAAGTTGATGTAGTAATGATAACTGTCTTTAATAGAATGCTTTAATACTTTATAACTGTTTTATGGAATATTAAGTCATTTTATATTTCTAAGAGTCGTGTGAGTTTGGCACAATGGGTGTTTCTATCTTCATTTTACAGATGTAGAAACTGAAACTCAGAGTGATTTGCCTGTGGTCATGTGGCTAGTGAGTGAACAGAGAGCATTTGAACCCAGGTCTTTGTAACTCCAAGTGCAGCACTTTCATGTGTCATATATTTGGTGATATATATATATATATATATATGTATATAATGTGATACATAATTGTTTCTACCGTAGGCAGAAATGTTTAACAACGATAGAAAAGCATTTTCTTGGAAAGATAATTGTTGGAATAAACGGAAAATATATTTTGGGTAATTAAAGCAGGCAAGCCCTGCCTCAGAAAGAGGTCATGTCCCAAAACTTCATTTTTAAGTCAGCTGTTTGAAATTCAGAATGCATTTTCCCATAGAAAGAATGTCATAAATCGTGAATATTGGGTTCCTGGCTCAACTCACAAGATTCTATTTAACCCATAATGAATGGCAGGACAAAGTAGCAGGACAAAGTACTATGTCAAATGTGAAAGTGTTTTAACTGTATTATGGACTAAATAGAACTTGGTGGGCTAACCTGGGGGTTTTTATGACTTTGTTAAGGAGACAATGCAAATTGACAAAAATACTTCTACTGTCCCCACTATCACGGCTGTCAAAAGAAGGGAATTTAGAGGCACTGGAAATTTGACTCCCCTCCCATCCATGTGCCCTGATTGCTGCTGGTCTGCCTAGGACACGGCAATAAAGGCATAGAATGGTTTTTACGACACCTCTTGTTCTCTGTGGCTTTACATGAAAGCTAACTTTAGTGAAGTGGGATTCTTTTCAAAAAAAATTTTTTGGGGGGCAGCGGTGGCGGTGTTAGCACCTGTAATTATATCTGTGTAGTATATATGGGAAACATGCATGCATGTATGTACGGGATGTTAATAATCCAAATGTCTATAGAATCATAAAAGTACAGAATGTTAGAGCTGGAAAGGACTTTGCAAGTCGTCTAGCCCAATTTGAGACCCAGAGACATAAAATGATTTTCCCTAGTTCACACAGCAAAAACATACCACAGCAGAGCCTGAAATTCAGATTCCTGGCTCCCTTTCTCATGCCTGTTCTATTTTACCATAGTGAGAATGCCTGTGACTAGAATACTCTCTTGTTTAGACATCATTCCATTAAAAAAAAAAATGTTTTTACATGCATGTAGATAGTTATTTTCACAAAAGAAAAAATCTAAATATTTATGGACAATATAGTTTGCCGATTTTTCCAGCAGGAAAACAATAACTAAATTACAGGTTTCCTTAAGTTAACAGGGGGGTTTAAATTGTGAGGGTTACTGTAACATTAGATCATTGATTTAATTAATCTAATCATTGATTAGATCATTGATCCAATTCCAAATTGGAAGGGACCTTAGAAGCTGTCTAGGTCAACCTCCCAATCTTACAGATAAGCAAACTGAGGCCCAGAGAGGTTAAGTGAATTAGGATCAGACAGGCAGAAAGTAGCAGAGCTGAGATTTGAACCCAGTTTCTTTGTCTTCAAATCAATCGCCCTTTCCACTCCAATATACTTCCTCCCACAATTATTTGTAAGAGGTCTAAAATCATAACAATATCTGCTTACAAATATGTAGTGATTTATGATTACCAAAGGTTTCAAATCTTGTTACAGCCTCATAATACTGTGAGGCAGGCACTGAGTTAATGCTGTTTTATATAGAAGATGAAATTAAGGTTTAAAGAGATTAAATGATATCCAAGGCCACAGAGTGGGTAATGGCAGGACCCAGGCCAACAGCTCACAAGTCTGGCGTTCTTTTCACTACTTTATTCTTTATGACAATAGACTGCCAATGTCCAGAATGAGAAAATGCTTCTAAAATCGATTACTTCAGGTATGGGACCTAACTAAAAAAGTCCATCTTTAAACAAGGAAACCTATTTAACAAATACAATTTCTTCTTCTAGTACATTTAAGAAAGGTAACATGGTATAGAAACCTTCTACATATCTATATGGAGATACATGCATATTATATATACATATATGTACACACACATACATGTTGTTGCTGTTCAGTCATTCATTTCTAAATTTTATATCTGACTCTTTGTAATCCTGTGGACCATACTGTCCATGGGGTTTTCTTGGCAAAGATACTGGAGTGGTTTTCCATTTCCTTCTCTAGGGGATTAAGGCAAACAGAGGTTAAGTGACTTGCCCAGGGTCACACAGTTAGTAAGTGTCTGAGACTAGATTTGAACTCAGGTCTTCCTGACTCCAGAACCAATGCTCCATCCACTGAATCACCTGTTTGCCTCCATCTATGTAGGTATATATACACAAATTGTATACTATATCTAATATATATGCATATATCACATTACATCTATACATGTGATAGATGTATTTTATATCTGTAGATATGTGTACATAAAACATATGCATACATTATATATATATGTGAGTGTGTGTATGGTGTATGTGTGTATATATCTAGACATCTATATATTTATATTCTGTGACTGGTTTGGAGAGATATAGAAATCTATGCTGCTGAGGCAACTGCCCTGAGATCCATTTATATGTAAATGAATCTTGATTATTGCATTATATGTGGCTCTGGGCCTTCAGAAACCTGACCCATGTTTGAAATATCTGATTGTCCCTATCTCTTTTCGTGTCTCCTTTTTGATGTAGAGGATCTGTGATAATGAGTAAATAAGAAAGCATTAGAAAAGCCAAGAGATATCCCTCAACAATAATAAAATGCTTATTTGAAAACTGCCCAAGAGAGGGTAATCTTTATAGAGAATCATTATAGGTAAATTATATGTAGCTACATCTATGGATCCTCTAACTAGACTTGGGTTTTAATGGTGGTTATGACACTATATGACTTGGGCAACACATTTCACTTCTCTGCAATCTGTTTCTTCATTTGTAAAATTATGGCATTATTCTAAATGATCTCTAGGACAGCTAGGTGGTGCAGCGGATAGCGTGTCAGGCCTGGAATCAGAAAGACCTGAGTTCAAATCTGACTTCAGATACTTACTAGCTGTGTGACCCTACACAAGTTACTTAACCCTGTTTGCCTCAGTTTCCACATCAGTAAAATGAGCTGGAGAAGGAAATAGCAAACTACTACAGTATCTTTGCCAAGAAAACTCCCAATGGGGTCAGGAAGGATCAGACACAACTGATATGACTGAACACCACAACATCTAAATGATCTCTACTGTTTCAGTTCTAAAATCTTAAGATTCTAAGAAAACCAACCATAACAGTATTATTAAGTTATAGACAAGAAAGAGCAAACAATATCCCCTATTGTGTATCTTATGCCATTTTGGAAGGCAGCTAGGTGGCACAGAGTGCTGGGCCAGGAGTCAAGAAGGTGAGTTCAAATTCAGCCTCAGACACTTACTTAGCTCTGTAATTATAGGCAAGTCACTTAACCTCTATTTGCCTCAGTTTTCCCAACTGTAAAATGGGATAAAAATGGTGCCTATCCCCCCCTCCCCCTGCATTGTTTTGAGGATCAAATGTGATTATAATTGCAAAGTAATTAGCACTGTGCCTGGAACATCATAAACATTATATAAATGTTAGCTATTATTATAATAATTATTATTATTTTGTGTTGGTTTCTTTTAATTTGATTTCAAAAGTCTTATACCATGCAGTTTAAAGAATTATCTGTCTGTCTCTGGCACTCTTAGAAAGATATACATATCTATGAAATTCCCTATGGTAATAGCAGGCTGCCATCCAAGAAAATATACTCAATCACACCCTTAGCATTGTCTACCATGAATATCAACAGTAACAATTTCCTTTGGTAACAAGGGAATGGAAGCTCTGTACTGATTAAAAATTGCTTCAGGTATTATGAGTCATGGTTGGACGGAAGTCAAAATATCCTTGATTACCTGGCATTCTTTTTTGACATAGTAATTAATCCATTTCAAAAAATCTAGAAAAGAAATGAGCATGTTTTTCTGACAGATGCTCAGCTTCCCAATTGCCAAGGGATATTTCTTCCCCTCCACATATCTCACATACTGTGGGCAAAATTTCCAGCTGGTCTAAGAGCCTTCTTAATGCAGGCTTGCTATTTGTTCATTGGTCATTGGCATAAGCATGGTTCATTTCTAAAGGGAGTGTTGCCTCTACAGCCCTTGTCAACCCAATGTATAAGCGTCAGAGAAATATGGGAATGCACCTATAAAATTCATAACTATATATGTGACCTGGCAATTCTTTTTATGTCTCTGGGGTCTGTAGCTTCATCTGTAAAATGCAGGGACTGGATTAGATGAACTCTAACGGCCCTTACATTCCCCAAATCTTATGATTTGATATAATTTTCTCCACCTCTAACCCCACCCCCACAAAAAATTAACATAGCAAATCTGTAGAATATTTTGCTCTTAGAATAACAAGCGATATTTACATATCCCTGATATATAAACTGATATATATATATATATAATATATATATATATATCTTAAAGTCGGCAAATGCTTTACATTTACTGTTTTTCTGAAGAGTAAGAATTATAATGTAATAATATCTTTGGGAATCTTGGAAGAAAGTGCTACTACTTACAAGGTATTTTCCTTACAACAACCCTGTGATTTGGGTAGTGCAAGTAGTAGTATTCTTATTTTACAGATGAAAATATAGAGTTCATCTGAATTGCTAGACAACAGTTCATCTGAAAAACGTATGGAGGTTTTATTGGTCTACAAGCTCTGTAAAACTCAAGATTGTGACAGGTTAGCAAAAAGAAAAAAAAAAAGAAGCACAGTGTCCAGGAATATGGAGGTAAAAAGTAATGTGGGCACCACATTTTAGGAAGGTCATTGTTAAATAAGAAAGCAGCCAGAAGAGAAGAAGGAAGATGGTTCAAGACCTATGAGGATCAACTGAAGAAACTGGGGACATTTAACTTGGAGAAGAGAAATTTAGTGGGGCATGATAACTGCCCTCATGTATTTGAATGACCATCATATGTTCTGTCTGGCCCTGAAGGGGAGAATGAGCAACAATGAGAAGGAAGTTGCAGAGAAGCAAAATTAGGTTTAATATAAAGAAAAAAACCTTCTAACAGTCAGAATGATCAAAAAAATGCAACAGGCAGCCTTCAGAGGGAGTGGATTTCTCCTCATTGGAGATTCTTGAGTGAAGTTTGGATGACCACTTTTGGGGCTTGTTTTAGAGGGGAATACTGGCAGGTATGGGTTAGACTGAATATATGAGATTCTGCAATTACGTCATGTATAAAAAAAATTTTAGATGAATTCATGGGTTAGATCTACGATGGGTTGTTGAGTGAAACCGAGGAAGCCAATGGAGCATTCTAAGCAGGGGAGAAATATGGTTAGGCCTTTGCTTTAGGAAAATCATTTTGGCAGCTAAGATCATCAGATCTCTATGCCTGCTCTTTAGAGCACCTATTGGTTCTTCTACCTTTCTTGGACAAAGGGATTTGGATCAGGTTTTCTAGCATGTCAAATTCCCATTGGCTCAGACAAGTCAGAAGGAAAGCATTTTGCTTGCCTGTTAGAATACATTTTACAGGGAGAAATTTCCTTCCCCCTCCTTCCCTTTCATTTGTTGCCGCAGTTCATTTTAGCCACATCTCTGATAAGTACATTCCTTGTTATATTATGAGTTACTACTTAGCCTTATAGCTTTATTTTTTTCTCTGTAGTTAGCTTTCCTAATGCTTTGTCATAATGACAATATGATTTTGATGTCTAAATGAGATTGCTCCTGTTTTAATCTAAATCCATTTTTTTTGGTTTAGTTTTCCACTTTCCAGGAGAAAAATGTCTCTGTGTTCTCATTAGAAAACAGAATACACACAAAGATCATCGTTGTTGTTAACTTCTGACCTCTCCCTTTTTTCTATGTAATTTTGAAATTTCACTGACAATAATTGGACATAATCCAATAAGCATCCAGAAATGCTAAAATTATTTCTTGGTTTAACATCTGCCTCCTAATAACACCTAAGGACATACAATGCAGCAATGAAAAACAGGAGAAAGCTGTGCTCATAATGTGCTCAACAGGGAGTATTATTTTGGATTTTTGTAATAATGATATTTTATATTTCTTTAGTGTTTTACGATCTGTAAAGCACTTTATATTTTATAAATCAAATTTGATCTTTTTAACAATCCCCTAAGAAAACTGAGTTTCTGAGATGTTAAGTGATTTTCTTATGGTTATTTAAACCAGGGTCAAATCTAGGTCTTCCTGACTCTGAGTCCAAGACTCTTTCTTGTTATACCTTCACCTAAAAGGCTTTTGACCAACCCTTGCTTGGTAGGAGCTATTGCAACATTCTGAGGAATTGATTATTGGTGGATGGGGACAAGCAGTCTTGGAAAAAACAACAACAAAAGCAATGATAAAAAGGTATAAGGAGTGCTGAGTGACCAAAGGGAGATAAAAACAGCAGCACCAAGATCTAAAAGGCTCAGGGGAGTGAGGGAGCCAGCTCCTTTACTTTTTCGGTTCTTTGCCAGTGGAAACCTCTCTCCCCAACCTCAATGACTCCTGCCCTGCACCTTCTGCAATGTAGACAATTCCATCCCCAGGTCTCTTCTCCTCTGGTTCATCTGGTGTCGTGTCACTGAGCATCAAGCAGAGAGTGGGAAGCAGCAGCTCCTACTGTCCTTCTACCACCTCCCCTTCCAAACTCAAGACTGCTCAGCCTGTTCTCTATCCCGAGAAGCTGTGCCAATGACTGATTTGAAAGTGGAACTCAGCGAATAGAAGTAGGTCAGGGGTATATGTGGATAAAGGTTGCCAAAGATGTCTATGAAGTCTGGGTTACAGTTTAAGGCAAGACCTTACTGTGATGAAGGCCCCTTTCTAGCCCCGTTCTGTAATGCTATCAACTAAGGGGACAACACCCAGAGGAGAAAACCATGTCTGACACATAGTAGGTGCTTAATAAGTGTTTATTGACTGACTGACTACTCCTTGATGTGATTTGCAAGTTATTCATCCTTCTCATAAGCTTGGGTATTCCCCTAAGACATTCACTTATTCCTTTTCTTTACTCTATCTGCATTCTCTTCCATGATGACTTCATCCACTCCTATGATTCAGTTATCACTTATATGTCTTATCATTTGCAAGAGGATTATACTTGTTTGTGGGACCCCAGAGGGCAGAACTAAAAAGGATTAGAAGTTGCAAGGAAGGAAATTTAGCTTTGTTATAAAGAAAAACATCCTAACAATTAGAGCTGCCTCTGGAGGTCATGAAGACCCTTTCCTTGGACATCTTCAAGGAAAAATTTGATGATCACTTTTAGGGTATGGTGTAGAAGGGATGTTTGTTCTGGACCATCCCTACAGTCCCTTCCAACTCTGGGATTTAGTGATTCTGAGTCAAGGACCAGGGTTTAAACCCTGACTCTGCTAGTACCTATCACATCACTTAATCTTTTGGAGCCTAAGTTTCATTGTCAGAAAAATGAGAGAAAAACCTTGGTGGTCACCTAGTCTTCCATGAAACAAAAATGCTCCACATAACATCAAAATATGTGGCCATGCAACCAATGATGACCTCTAGTTTTCTCCCTGACCTCCTCTGGCCCATGCTTTAGAGCAGCGGTGTCAAACTCTGCCAGAAATGGTCATAAATTGTACATAAGGATCCCTGCAGGACACATATTGATGAAGAAACCCATATATTAATGGAGAAAACCATATATTAACATAATCTATGTTCTACTGCATTTTATTTATGTTGTTAAATATTTCCCAATTACATTTTAATCTGGTACTGACTTGCTGGACCACAATGTGGGCAGTACATTTGACACCTTGGCTACATTTGATTCTATTGATCCTTTCCAATGTCTGTCTTCAAGGCTGATTCTTTGACATCACTAACCCTTTTCCTGCCAGGAATCTGAACCCTATTTCCCTGATTCTTCTTGTCGTGTCACTTGTCAGTCACTCCTGGTCATGGTAAGATGTTTGACCCCAAACGCACATTCCTATTAACATCCTTAAGATGACATTTTGCCTATAGTAGATTACCAAAAAAAAAAAAAAAAAAAATTACAAGGCACATACTTGGAGAGAGTAGGCACTTGTCTATCACAGGGATTTATAATTAGTGAGGCTGTATTATGCTAATCTCTCATGAGGGTGGAGGGGAATGTCTAAGGTTTTTTGCTGTTCAAAGCTTCAAACAGTGCCTGGCTCCTCTTAGGCATCTAACATGTTTGTGGAATGAATGGTTGCAGAAACCTACCTCTTCTTCTGTAAGAGTTGGGTCTTCCTCTCGAGATTTGTAAGACAGCGAACTAAGTCTCTGTTAGAGAGAACAAATACATATCAAGATGAAATACTGTGAAACCTACAATTCAGTCTTCCCTTTGCCTAAGCAGTAGGATATTTTGCTCATAAAAATTCCTTTCACATTACTACAACAGCTTTTCAGATAAGCTACCATAAGGGCTTTGGGATTGGGTTTGATAACTTGATCCTGAACAATAACTTCTAATATAAAGGGATGTAAAGAAATTGAGCACTTCAGTAACTATCTGGCCTCTTAATTAATCTGCTCAGGTGATAGCTAGTAAAATCTTGTTCATGCTTTTATATGATAATGCGCTAAAATAATCCAATAAATTAAAGAGGATATTGTTTCAATTACATTGTGGTAAGTGTAGCTGAAGGGAATAATCTTTTAAAAATGCAGTATTTCTTTAATAATCTTACAGAATTTGCATATCAGCTTCTTCATTTCAAGAAAATCATCAAGCCATTTGGAATCTTTTCCTAAGCCCATGGATACAGAAATCATCTTATCTGTGTGACCGCACTGTAAGGGGCCACACGCTGATATATTAGGAATCCTTGATTCATGAGTAGGGTTGGACTGTTTTAGAAGACAACCAGGCATCACAAGTCTCATCTGGGAGGACTGCACAGAAATTTCATTCCTTTATAGTGAGGACCAGGTTGCAGTGAAACCTGGGACAGCTAGGTGGCACAGTGGATAGAGTGCCAGGCCTGGAGCCAAGAAGACTCATCTTCCTGAGTTCAAATCTGGTCTCAGACACTTACTAGCTGTGTTACCCTGGGCAAGTCACTTAACCCTGTTTGCCTCAGTTTCTCATCTGTAAAATGAGCTGGAGAAGGAAATGGCAAACCACTCTAGTATCTTTGCCAAGAAAACCCCAAATGGGATCACAAAGAGTTAGACATGACTGAAAAGACCAAACAACAATAAGGTAAGAGGAATGGGCCAGGTATTAAACAGAGGCTTTGAGTACAACAAACATTAAAAAAAAATGTAACAGTTGTAACTAAAAGCAGAATTGTTTTCTGTTTACAGGGTAGAAAACACTACTGGATTTTCCAGACTGTTTTTGTCTGATCCCTATCCATGTGTCTTACTGTAGAAGAGAATACCACTACATGACAGTTTATTTTAATAATAGTTGACATTTATATTGCATATTTCAGTTTACAAAGTACTCTATAGACATTACATCAATTCATTGTCATGACAATTCCCTGTTTTATGTAGTACAAATATTATTATCTTCATTTAGCTGATAAGGATATTGAGGCAGAGAGAGTCAAAGACCATAAATATGAGATCAGTCATGTAGGGGAAGACAAGAGATATTAGAGGATTCTGGGTTACAGGGGGGCTGTTAGTGCTATAGGGACAATTTCATCTTGGACAAAGCAACAACTAAACCTGAGCCTCAGTTTTCTTATCTTTAAATAGGGTTAACAGTTTTCAACGCTACCTTGGCAGGCTGTCTCAAGGCTAAATGAGAATGAGTTAAAGGACATTGTTTGGTGCAATATTATGCAGCATGTGTCTGCATATGGATATACCATGTCAATGTGAGGACAGAAGCAAAGCAAGAATAGGAGGTTCATATATTTTATGGGATTTTTGTCAAAGGACACCATCTAATGAATTTCATGAGGTTGGGACAAAAATAGATGAAAGGAAAATGACTTTTATGTTATTTCGAGAAGTGAATAAAAAGCCACATACTTGTAAAAAAATTAGGGCCTGTCACAACAGAGGACTTTTTGATTTGCACAATTAAAATCAGTTATTTAAACTGTAGTTTGTATTGGCTGGAAAAATAAAATTTATCAGATAACGGCTGACAATGTATAGCACTTCATGATTTTAAAAAGATTTAGCCTAAAAATCAATGACTATTTTTTACTACAATGCGGGTACAGGGCTTCAGAATGGGTCAGGCCTGTGTTTCAATGTATTATGCATGTACTTAGAGATGAACATTGGGAAGACAGGCTAAAGCTGTAGCTTAGAAAGACTTTAATTCTGAAGACATTTTAATTAGATGAACACCTTTTCTGTGGCACTTGGGGGACTGCATCTGTCATCATCTGATTAATTCTTCAGAGCCTTAGCCATTTCAGTCAATTTACAGTCCCTGAAGACAGAGTTTCATATAATGTGTGCCTATTAGACAGATATGTGGAGAGTTAAACACAAAGGAATAAATTTCTTGGTATCAATGATTAGGAAAGATTTTTTTTTAAGCTTTCTCACAACAAGCAAGAAGACAGTGCACTTGAGTTTGTGTTTACACTAATGACTATACTTGCTCTCCCTTCTTCCCTCTCTCCTGGAAAAGGCCAATTGTGATTACATGCTGTTTTTTCACTGCCTTTAAAGACACTATTCTTAGCTCTGGTCTGTTCATCATTTTTATCAATGACTTGGACAAAGAGATGGTATGCTTGTAATATCTTCAAATGACATCAAATGGCAGAGGACAGGTGATGCACTGGATCCCTGGGTCAGAAGCCAAAAAGATCTCAACAGGAAGAATTATGAGGTGAATCAAATAAAATGAAATTTAAAAGGAAAAAAATATGAAGTTAAACACTTGGGTTAAAAAAAATCTACTTTCACAAGTACAAGATAAGGGGCAGCAACTCCTTGGAAAAATATAATGGGAGGCTTTAGTACCTGGCCCAATATGGTGTTTAATAAATATTGATTGTTGTTTGATTTTAGGGGATTGCAAGCTTAATATGAATCAAAGTAGCAGTAGGAAAGTCTAAAAAGGTAATGCCACTCTAAACAACATAAAAAGAATCACAATGGGCCTCTGTTCTCGTCAGACTGCCTCTGGAATCCAGTGTCCATTTCTGGGCACCATGTTTAAGACAGAGATAGACCAGCTGAGGCATGTTCAGAAGAGGGCAATAATGATAGGACAGTGAGAGGGCTGGTGATTGTGTAAGAAATGGTTTTGAAGGAACTGGGGATGGTTAGCTTGGAGAAGAGAAGAGTTGGGGAGATAGGAGAGCCATCTTTAAGTAAGTGAAGAGTTCTCATATTGAAGAGGGATTAGCCTTAATCTGTTTGTCCCTATTTTGCAGAACCAGGAGCAATGGGTGCAAACTGTAAAGCAGCCTGAATCACCAGTTGGTTGGTATGTTGTAGAAAGGATTCTTGTTCAGGTACATCTTTCTTTTGAGTTCCTTTCAAACTCTTAAGATTCTATGGATCACGGGAAGTTTCTTTTTTTTAATAATATTTTATTTTTTTCCCAATTGCATGTAAAAACAATTTTTTAACAATTTTTTTTTAAAATTCTAAGTTCCAAAGTCTCTCCCTCTCTCTCTCTCCTCCATGAGATGGTAAGCAATTTGATAAAGGTTATATATGTGCAATCATGCAAAACACATTTCCACGTTAGTCATGTTGTGAAAACACAGGATCATCCCCCCCCCAAAAAAACATAAAAAAAAAATTAAGTGAAAAATAGTGTGCTTCAATCTGCATTCAGTCTCCATCAGTTTTCTCTAGAAGTGGATAGCATTTTTCAATAGGAGTCCTTTGGAATTGTCTCACATCACTGTATTGCCGAGAAAAGCTAACTCATTCACAGTTGATCACTGTACAATATTGCTGTTACTTTGTACACTGTTTTCCTGGTTCTACTCACCTCACTTTGCATAAATTTATGTAAGTCTTTCCAGGTTTTCATGGAAAAAGTTCTTAATCCACATTTTGGGAAAATGTCTAAGGCCCCCCAAATTTATGTAAATAAATAAATAAATAAATGTGAATGTTACACATTTAAAATCCCAGTTCTACTTTGTTGCCTCATCTCAACTTGGACATCATCCTAGATTCTCAACAATCATCCCCTCTGACCGTAGATGCCCCTTAAGCTTCTTTCCTTAGCCCTCGTTTCTTATCCTTCTATGCTACTTCATTTGGTGATCTCATCAGCTCCCATGGATCGAATGATCATCTCCAGGCTGATGATTCTCATATCTACCTTTCTTGGGCCAATCTCTTTGCTGACTTCCAATATCACATCTCCAACTGTCTTTCAGACATCTGGATGCCCGGTACACATTTTAAACTCAATATGTCCAAAACAGAACTTATCTTTCCCCCAAAACCCTCCTCTCTCTCCTCTCCCACCACTCCACCACTACCTTCCTTACTACCCTCTTCCTAGTCTCTCAGGTTCACAATCTAGGAGTCGTCCTGGACTCCTCACTATCTCTCAAACCCCTTACCCCCACACCCCACATCCAAGCGGTTGCCAAGACCTGTCAATCTTACCTTTGCAACATCTCTCCAATATACTCAGTTTCTCCTCTATACTGAGAAGACTCTAGGACAGGCCCTCATCATCTCATACCTGGACTATTGCAATAGCCTGCTGGTGAATCTACCCGTCTTGTCTTTCCGCACTCCAATAAGTTCTCCATTCAGCCACCAAAGTGATTTCACTAAAATGTAAGTCTAATTATATCATCCACCCCCCACTCAATAAACTCCAGCTGCTTCCTATAGCCTCCAGAAGCAAATTCAAAATGTTCTGTTTGGTATTCAAAGACCTTCATAACCGTGACCCTTCCTCTTCTTCTTGCTCCCCAACCTGTACCCTTCAGTCCAATGACATAACTGTTCCATGAACAAGACCCTCCATTTCTTGACTCTGGGCATTTTCTCTGTCTCTCATGCCTGGAATGCTCATCTGCTCTGACTACTGACCTTCCTGGCTTCCTTTACATCCCAACTAAAATCCTACTTTCTACAGAGAGCTTTCCCTAACCCCTCTAATTCTTTTTCCTATTTATTCTATATACAGCTTACTTTGCATATTTTTATTTCTATTTTGTCTTCCTCATTAGAGTATAAGCTTCTTAAGGGGAGGGATGGTCTTTTGCACCTTTTTGCATCCCCAGTACTTAGCATAGTGCCTGACATATAGCAGGCACCCAATAAATGTGTTTTGATTATTGATTAAGTCAGTGGAGCATAAGCCTTGTTCAGTT